GTCAAACTGTTTTTGTGTGGAGGGGTGGTTTTTAGGGGCTGCTATAGTAGCAGTTCTCAGGTGGAATAGGAAAATTCTGAGTTTCACCAGCTTTCTCTAAACTGACCATTCCTGTAAGACAAGAAGCAGGTCAGAAAAAAAAATAGCTTCTCTCCTTCCTTCCAGTCTTTCCAAACTCGCCTTTTCTTCCTGGAAATCTGCATTCTAATTTTTTGCACTTCTGACCCCAAACTTTAAGGTGTCAGAAGACCTGATCCCTCGCTTCATAAGCAGGGGGGCTTGAAGCTTGCTTCAAGCTTCTTATGCCTCGAGTTTCAGCTTGTAGCTTGAAACAGGATACAGAAGACACCTGATGCAGCTGGTGAAGATCAAGAGGCTCYGCTTCTGAAACTTGAGGAGCGTTGAGATGGCTTCCATTCCTGGACACCCAACTTGAAGGGCAAATGCTTAGAGAGCAAAAAGACTTGCAAATGCCATAACAGAGATGTGAAATATCTACATATGCATGGAAAGTAGAAATTCATTAGAACAACTAGACTCCATCTTCTGGAGAAGCGCGTGTTAGTATGAAAGACTGAATCTGACTGAGGAAACATCAATCTTGGGAACTTGCTAAACAAAGTTTAATTTGTGTATGTTCAATTGGATCCTAGGCCAATTCGGTGCTGCTTGCAAGCAAACTGATCACAAAGTGTGACTGGGGTGCAGAATACACCCACACAACTAAGCCTTCCAGAGCCATCTGAGATTCAGTGATGATAAGTCACAGTCACTGCTTTATCTGAAAAGACACTTTATCCCCAAGAAGCATTCAAGTATCAGAAATTTAAGGCAGTATTGCACATAAAGCATCACAAATGCTTAGGCTGTGGTTCTCATACTGCCGATATGTGTTGGAAACCTGAATGCCATTCAGACAGTGGCTTTCTGCTTGCAGCTCTGTATATTCTATCCATCTCTTTCTTCGCAAAGCTCAATTTTAAAATGACATAATTGAATACATAGCCACAAACAATCTTGTAGGCATAAGCCACCAAAGCAAAGGCAAGGATAGTTTTACCTACAAGATGCTATTTCATCACAAGAGCTGAAGAGCAGAGCAGTTCTCCCAAGAGATGCAATTTGTGATGCAGGGATGCGAATGACAGCAGTTGCTTAAAAGGACTGACCTACTGGTCAGCTTAATTTAACTTTATACTGGGAGAATCAGATGGTTGAAAGTCATTAGGACACTTAAGAAGAAAGAAGTTATACCCCACTAAGCTAAAATAATAAAATTTATAAAGTATTAAAAAGAGGGARGAGAAAAGCTTCTAAAAGCCTAAAGTGAATAAGCAAAAATGATAAGAATTAAGAACCCACATGAGGGCAAGACACCCCTTTTCCTTAGTCATATTCTAGACATTCAGCAAATAAGGCCGGCAGGCACAGACATACACAGTGCAGTAAGATACAAGAGCTAATGACTGTAGTCACTGAGACAGGCACTGCCCCATTTATTTCTCAATGTTCTGCTCTTCAGTCCTGTCAGAGTGTTTGGCACTTAAAATAGTACCCGGGGGAAGTTTAATACAAGTCCACATTAAGATGAAATAGCTGATCCAATTACATCTTTTTAGATTGCATGATTTTATAAAAATAATTTTAATTGATGCCAAAAGTTGTAGGAAAAAAARCAGGAAGCAAAACAAGAACTTCAGCTAAGAAAGAGAATCAGCAGCAAGGAACGTAAGCAGATTATTCACGCTGTAAACATCTGTAATATTGATAATTAAATGGTCATGTGAGGTAGCAGACTATCATTATCCCTATAAAATTCAGTGATCAGTATCATCATCCCTAAATAACAGGTTTAAATGGAGATACTGGGACTTGCCCAAGGTAACAGTGACTCAGGTGTGAGCTGGGACTCACCACAGAATGCTCTTCGCTCCCCTCAGTCCAAGCCATTAGAACTCGAGCTGATCTGCAGCCTCACTCTGAGCTTTACAGCACCAACATTTAACTAAAATAACAGATCTTAGTGAGGGGAAAGAAATAAACTGGAGAGATTCAGAGGGGGTGGAAGGAAGACAATGAAATCCCCTCAGCAAGAACATCRTGGTATTTTTCATAATGCAATGACAGGCTCCCAGACACCAGCACTACACACACACACTCTGAGGGCTGAAGAAAACACTTGTCAGGTCCACACACTTGATACAGCAACAGGCTTATCCTGCATGTAACTATGCCTCTTATATCAGTCCTGTGTCTCTCAAGGGGTAGACAGAGCATTCAGAACTCTGATTAATTTAAAAACACACACAAATACAACATGCCCTGCCACACACTGCCATGCTAATATGTTTTTGGACAAAGAAACTGCAGCTTGAAGGGCCTGGGACTGACTGCTCTCCCTTACAGCAGCCACTGTGATTTTGCCTGAGGTGAGAGAGGAGGAGAGGTGGGGAGTGAATAGAAGGCAGGCAGCAAGATGYGGTGGCACCATCTCCCACAGGGTGTCACGGGACTCAATCCATCATATGTCCCCACAGATCTCGGATAGACAACGGCTAGAGGGAACAACCCGTGCTCTCCGCAGMCACCTGAGGGGAACACCAGCCCCAGGAGGGGTGGGACACAGGAACAAGGCGGTGACAGAGCAGGGCAGGCAGTCAGCATCGCCCATAAGGTGACAGCATGGAGGACGAACGCAGCAGAGCGACAGGCGGCGCATGTAGGGCTGCACCACCCAAGTGCTGACGTCCTGTGTGCCACACGCCACGGAAGGTCTYGAATGTGACACCGAGGCAAGTTAAGGGGCACCAGAAGAAGAAGAAATGAGGGCACTGAAGTCTCAAACCTCACTCAAATTGAGTGATCGGACAGCATTAAGTGGGAGGATTTTAAGGCATGGGAAGCCCATGTCTTATACACAGACACCTGAAAAAAAGAGAATTACAGAGTCAGGAAAAGTTCAGGGAACAGCTGGGTTCTCAGTACAAGGATTCCTGAGCAAAATCTCTCCTGGAGCACAACGACAGCAAGTGCACAACAGTTCTGGAACTTTTTGGAACAAGCCAACACACCTTTTCTTCCCTTTGCCTCTATTCCCCTTAAAAACACACTCCATGTGAAAACAGAAGTATTTTCCCATTCACCTTCTCGCTCAGCTGCCCCAGAGCCCTTCACTCTCCCGCTAACACAGCTCGCCGCGCACTAAACACCCTCCTCTCTCAACCGCCTGCGGCCGTTACGACCGTTAACGGCCGCGGGCTCCTACCTGCTGCGCGAAGTAGAGGGTGCGGTAGGGGGCGGCGCGGCGGGGGGCGGCGGGCGCGCTCCGGAGGAGGCCCAGGAGGACGAGGAGGAGGAGCGGCACGGGCAGCATGGCCGGGAGGAGCGCGGGCCGCCCCGCGCCGCCCCTTTATAGCGGCCCCGGGCCGCGCCGCCATGCGGGGGCGCGCCGGCCGCCCGCGCGCCATCCCCCGGGGCGGCCGCCTGCGCATGCGCCCTGAGGGCCCGCTCCGAGCCGCGCTCCACGCGGGGCGGCTGCTCCCACACGTGGGCGAGGCCACGCGCCTTCTGATTGGCTGTCAAGTCACGGCCGGCCGGCGCGCGCGGTCGCGGTTGGCTGCGGTGCCGCGTGAGCGGGCCAATGAGCGTGCAGGCGCCGTGGGGCGGCCTGCTCTGGATTGGCGGCGGGGCGGGGGCGCGTGCACAGCTGCTCGCGTGCCTATTTGTGGGGGTGCCTTGAAAGGGAAGTGACGATTGGGTGAGCGCGGCGTTGTTCCCGCCCCCTAACGRCGGCCCTAGCAACGCGGCACGTCCGGCTTCCGGGCGTGCTCGGCGCCGGGCGCCCCGGCCATGGCGGGGCCCGGAGCCGCCGCCCGCCCCCCAGGCCCGCGTGTCCCTGAGGCCCTAACGGCGCCGGGAGCGCCGTAAGGCCCGGGCGGGAGGGAGGAGCCGCTGCTTGCGGTGGAACGTGGCGCCGAGGCCCGCGGTGACCGCCCGTGTGGGGGTTTCCTCCGGGCGAGCTGGAGTAACGGGGCGCTAGAGGGCACCAGCCGCCGAGGAAGCCGAGGTGAGGCGGGAAGTAACCCCGGTTAACGAGGGTTTTGAACCCCGGGAATTGGGAATGTGTGTGGATGAACACCGGAAAAAAGGGGGGAGGGGGAAGAGGKGGGGGAGAAGAAGCACTGAAGTCGGTAGTGTAGAAATCAGGCCTGTTTTTAAACCCAAGCAAATAAATCATGACTTGAAAGCAAAGCCTGACCTTAAAGCATGCTTTAGAGCCAACTTAAAGCATGGTTGAGGAACTTAGAAATATTATTTTTATATATACGTGTGTACAAATACATATGTGTATCTGCTTGGGGTGGTGAAGGGAGAAGAGAGGTGGGCTTCGTGCTGAGCTCTGCACAGTTTTGTGACTCTTCCATGCTCTATGCAACAAAGCATGGGTTATTTTGGAGCCATATCTGTGAAAAGGAGAGGAAGCTGTTGTAAATAAATGCAGCGCTTGAGGTTGTGAGAAAGYGACGTTGTCCTATACATTATCCTGAGTTATTAGACTCTATCACAGTCGGATGTTTTAAAGAGCATTTTAGGAACAATCTCGCWACAGAGCAGCTGGGTAGTATTTTTTCATTTGGTAAAAACTAAATCAATTGATACTATGTGTTTTTAGGCTCTACTCGGAGAAAAAAAAAAGCCTAAAATTGTGGAGCCTCCTATTTAGTTACAATATAGTCATTATAAAGGCATGATTATTCTGCAGGAAAGTAATGCTAATTAAATTCTATTAAAATCCATTAGAAAAGAAAAAAAAAAAAAAACAGATTTGCTCAGTAGTGTTTTCAAGGATAATTCTGATAAAAGTTCTCAAACCCTGAGTGGGGATTTGTGGTCTGTCTGAAGCGYTGTGTAAACATGCTGAACACTTATTTTTAGGGCATATCTTCAAGTAGCTTTTTAGTTATTTTTTCCTTTAAAGGAGTAATTGAAGCTGACACTAAATGGTGACTGAATTGGGCTGCTCTTACAACAGAAATCACCAACTCCTGAAGGCCGCCTGCCAACAACAGCAACAAGAAGGACAACCAGCAGCAGCGAGAGCCCCTTTGAGGTGGTGCTTGAGCCCATGGGTGGTGGCCAAGCTCTCCTGGCTGCCTCTGTGATTTCCATCCAGAATTCCTGCTTCACCTACCCTGCTTGTCACAACTGCTGCTCTAGGCTCAGCCTGGATTCCAGGAGGTCTGTTGTGGTCAGGGCCCTGCAAACTGCTCGTTGTGGGTGGCCTGGGGGCAGAACAGCAAGCGAAAATGGACTTTGCTGGATATTCTTCAGCAGTAGAAATAATTGGTAAATAAGCAAGATATATGTAACTAGCACTATTTCTTTTCTTTTGTATTCCTGGAGCAGCTTAGAAATTATTGTGAATCAAGAACTCTATTATGTTAAGTGCCATAKGACATCGAAGGACAGGTTAGGAGAAGTGATGTTGGTTAATGGCTTTCAACTGAATCCCCTGCAGTCCCGTTCTTCAGTGCTTCAGTTACACAATTGGTGCAACTGAGCTGAAGCTGATTGAGGGCTTGATATTTTTGAGAGATTCCTATCAATTTTTTTCTCTTCTCCTCATCCTGTGTGTGTAGTGCATCAGATGATGACACTTCCAGGAATTGTGTGCCCACAAACATGGGCTTTTTGCTTTGGGCAATGAATATCAGCGCTAAATAGAAGAAGTTGGCTTTGCAAAGCAAGGTTACCTGTAGTTTCAAGTGCTAAACTTGAAAGATAAGAGCATTCTTTCAACTGATTTTTTAGTAAATCGGCTATTTTAGTAAAGCTACAAGAAGAATTCCAGAAGAGAATAAAATACAAACAAACAGGAACGCCTGGAAATTTATTCCACAAAAGGTCCTTTAAAGCACAATGTTGCCTCCAGCTTCACAACAGGCTGGTCTTTTCATAGATCTATAGAAGAAGCCAGAGGGATTTAGCAGTGATAAAGATACTTTGCCAGAAAAAGGCAAAGAATAGGAAAGTATCATGTTTTTTTATCATTATTATATTAACTTCTAGTGTTTTTTTTTGTCAGGTTTAACTGTCTAAAATGTGGCTGCACAGGCGAAGTGAAAGATGCAAGATACAGATACAGATTGTCCCTCAAGGTTGCTGACACCACTGATTTGTTTGACATCACTGTGTTTGGAAGCTGCTTAGATCCATTTTTTGGAGTCACTGCAGAAAATTTGCAGAGGTAAGAAATGGATTCATAAGTACATAACTATATAGGTGCTTCTCCCTCCTCCTTCTGGTCTAAGACATGAACCTGGATGGTGGGGAGAGAAGTGGGAAGAAGCTGGTAAAATTGTCCCCTCCAGAATTACCTTTTTAGCCCTCACCTCGAGAAGAGGCTTAAGGATATGGGTTGCATCCATGCTCCTACTCCATGAAATTTAAGAAGAAAACTATGAATAAATTTGTTGGTTTGATTTGTTTTGAACATTCTTTTGTCAGGCCTTCTACATTAGACTGCTGTAATACTGTTAATTATGACAAACAACTATTTGCTTGGAAGCAGCTGTTGCTATAAAAAGGCAAGTGGTCAGGATGTGTGTACAGGCAACAGCAGTGCTATAACACATGAGTCTGTGTCAGTGCAAAACTCACAGCTACACAGAGAACCCTGAAAACGGCCTGTGCATTAAATGTATTCACAATGTTTTTATTTATTTCTGCTTCAGTAACAAATAAAATGAACTAGACAATTCATAGGTTCATTCCTCATCTTGTTTTTATTCCATATTTAGTTCAGCCTAACACAAGGGTTTCTCTGTAGCATATATCCTACCTGTGTTACATCTGAAATGCCATTCAAGGCTTCTTCTACTGATGCAGTGCTTCTTTTATTCAAGACATATTGAAGATTTGAATCAGCTATCAGGAGAAACAAACAAAGATGCATCTCCAGAAGTGTTAGTTCAAGCAGTTGAAACCTGTTTCATTGGAAAAAGATTTATATTTGGAGTGAAGGTAACTTTTAAACAATATTACTCTCTCTTAAAACATTTTTTATCATTAGTTTGCAGCCCAGTGGGACATAGACTGAATTTGCAAACCATCATGTACAGTATCTTTTTGGAATTTCAGCATACAAAGGAGAAAACTTAGGGCTGGGACTTAAGAATTCTGTTTTTTCACACACCCTGTGGCATTTTGATGCTTCTGGATTTAAGAAAGTGTTTTAAAATGTTGATAAATTCGAGCTGTTCATCATAAACATCTGTGGCTCTCATGTATTTGACAGACTAGAAAATATTCAGAACAAATATTCTAGTAGAAACTGTCTTCTAAGTTCCATTCATGTGATGCTTGTGTGAGTCACTCGTGTTATGGAGTCTGCAGCTAAATCCCATCTGTCACAGGATTTTGCTTTCCGAGAGGTGCCACAAGGTTTGTGTGTGACATGAGGCTCTTCCTAATGCACAATGCCTGAAAAATAAGAGGTGGAAGGTGCAGAATCATTCATTCGCTCTCAAATACAAACAATCCCTCTGCACATCAGCAGCCTGGCTGCTGTTTGTGCATGCACAAAGACTAAGCACAMATTTAAAAAGTATTTGCACGGCCTGTGGGTGCAGATATATGGAAACAATTGCATTAATCTATGCACACAATTGAACATCTGACAAGATAAAGGCTGGAGCTTATTTCCCTTTCATGGAGGCAGTGCATAGGAAATATCGTGCTGGCTGATGGCTGAGCTGCCAAGTCAGGTAACTGGAACCAAGACGCTTCAAGTACTGCTTGGTGCTTCCTAGTTCTATATTAAGGAAAAAAAAGACATTAGGCTGTTGTACTGAACAGCGCTGGAGGAAGCCCCTGAGTCCTCGATGCCCTAACAGGGGGAAGAACAACATCTCTGTGGAGCCCTTTCTTCAAATTCTTGGTTGTTTTCCCCCAGGTCCAAAAAGCTCTGCATCACTGCAGCAAGCAGAGCACCTCTCGCTGTGATGTCCTCTGCAGCCCTTGCCAGTGCTTATTTCACAGAGTACTGGTCTGTGACAGAGTTTTTTTCTTCTCTGCAAAACCTGGCAAAAAGTGAGACCTAAATTTAAGCTTGACTTGAACAACATGCCTTAGTCCTTTTCTCTCTCTCTTTTTTTTTTTTCTCTCAAAGCATTGCAGTGTGATGTGTGTGTGTGTGTGTATATATATATAATTTTTTTTTTTTCATTTTCTCCCCACCCGCAGGGTTATGTGAGTCAAGATGGAGGACATTCTGTTGCCAGCAGCATCTTGCAAAACTGCTCTAGAATTAACAGAGGTACAAAAAGCCTCACAGCCTGCCAGATCTTCCTGCCAAACGCTGCTGTTACTGGCTTCACTGTTATCAGCTGCTTCCGTCGGCTCCTGCAGTCCACACAACTCCAGAGCTGCAGTAGCAGCTCCTGCTTCCCTGACGTGCCTTGGGCTGCAATGGATCAGCCTGGCAGCGAGCTCAGCAGCTTCTCTAGTCTGAGCAGAAACTCCTGGTCTGTTCAGTGCAGTTTGTTAGGGTGCTGGCAGCAATCCTTGAGCCTGACTTCATCAGTTGCTTGGGTAACAGCAGACTCCTCATCTTTGGAAAAGGAGAAGTTTGGGAGTGAGCGGAGTGAACAACAGGAGCGGCCCCTCTCTGCAGAACCAGACACTGTAAGTCTCAACAATCAAACTCTTTGGGATTCAGTGTTTTGCAGCTCCTCTGTGAGGAAGGGGAATGAAGAGGAAGAGAATGAACCAAGTTCACAGTCTAATCAAACTAACAATGTCTCTGCACCTGATAGATTAGAGAGAATTTTCTCTTCAAAGACAGCATGTTCATTTGATAATAGTTCCCGGTTACTGCAAAATTTCTTGGAGCTTGAGGTAAAAAACACTTACCTGGAGAATAATAGTGGAAATGGCTCCTATGCCAAAAAATCCCACAACTCACTTTCTTACAAGAGCCAATTTTCACCTTCCAATCATGCAAACGCAGCTGGAGTGACTCCAACAGATTCCATGTTTTGGGATGAGCTGCCCTTCTCGGAAAGTCTAAATGAATTTTTAGCCAGGGTGGAAGATGAAAGGAGTGCAGTAACATCACCCCGTCTCAACACAGGCAAACGTGCCCGTGTTGAAAGCAGCAAGCTGCATGTGAATGTTCCCAAGTCATCTCGTAGGCAGAGTCTGGTGGCTGAGAGTCAGCATGAAGTGAGCGCCTTGGGGGAGCTTCTGTCACCCGTGGAAAGGGAGAGGTGGGAGAGCTCCCCCATTACTTGCTTTCAGCCAAATCCAGCCCCTCGAGGTGACGAGGAGTCACCGTGCGAGTCTGTCTGTAGTGTTTTCTCTTTAACCACCAAAGAGCAAAGAGAAAGATGTGGAACATCTTTCTTTGCCACATCAAGCCCACACCAGCTGATTCCATCACAGTCCACACCAGTTGCCTCGGAGCCGTCTCCCTCCACCAGCAGATTTGTGCGGTTGAAAGAAGTCAGTGTTGGCGTTTCAAAGTCAGCTTGTTCTTTCATGAGCCCACAGACTACTGCTGAACACAGAAGAACCCCTTGTTTGCAGAGCAGTGAGGCAGCCCGTGTGCATTCTGCATGGGGTAGCTGTTCGTTTCGTTGGGAGAATAAAGAAAATTATTCTTCCACRCCAGGCCAAAACCCAGGTCTTGCATGCTCAGGGGCATGGGGATCTGATGCAGTAACTCCCAGCACCATCAGAAGGACATGTAAGACAGAACTAAAGCCACCAAGAATTTCAGCACTGCAAGGAAGTATCTCTAGAAGTATAAATAAGAGAGAGGTGCTGGGGAASAGTGGCTGCCCCGAAAGCAGCTACAATCTTTCTGCTGATCTCTTTGAAGCAAGTGCAAGAGAGCTCACCAAGACAGAAGAATTCTTAAATAAATCGTGGAAATCTGTGTCACAGGAAGATGCTTTGACACAAAAGGGCCCAGCTGAATTGGTGCTTAATCCTGTAGATGTTCCCTGTAGCACTTCAAARTGTAGATGGTCCCCAGGTAGTTCCCCTCCTGCTTTTAGCAAGCACAGCACCCCACGAGCTTTCTCCTTCTGTGATTTAGAAGCCAGTTCCATTAGTTCCCAAGGCTTCATCCCTTATTCACAGTCAACTCCTGTGGCAAAACCTCTTCCAAAAATACATCCTGTTGGCAAAAGAAGCTCTTGTATCACTATGTTCACACCCAAAAACCTTCCTAAAATTCATTCCAAGCATTCAAGGCTTTCYTTTCAGAACACTTTGCTGCAGCAACTTACTGGCAGAGCAGCGAAGCGGAGAAGGCCGAGTAAGAGRGAAGGCAAAGCAGGTGATAGCTCAGGTTCACCGCAGTCCCTCAGCAGCGGTGCCTTTGAGGAGTGGATACCTCCATCTGCAGCCAAGCGGCTGAAACCAGCAGCATCCTTAAACTGTAAAACAGGTGACTTGGCTGCTGGCTTGCAACCCACGTGCAGGTTCCTAGGCAGGAGCCCTGCCCCTGCAAGCCAATTCAGCAGGGAAAGCGCCAGCTTCAGGAGGGAGAATTTAAGCCCTGGGAGCACAGGCAGGATTCTGGCAACTCCCGGGTCTGCGGGTATTGCTAAGGCCTTGTTTTTAAATGAAACAGTCCTGGAAAGTCGTTCTGCTTCTGAAGGCAAGAGTCGCCTCTCCTGTGCAAACTRTTCCAGGGGAACATGGGGAGGGACGACTGGCTGGTCTCCCGAGTTGTTCTTCCAAGCTCGGACCCAAAATACTAAAAAATGATGCTTCTACCTTGTGTTCTTTGTAATTATTTTTAAGAAGGAGACAGATGAATAAAAGAGCTGTTTCTAAACAAATAAATTATTTATACACCTGTTGACATAGTGTTCTTTGGATGAGTTATTTTTATTTGTAGAGTTTTGTACAGCAGCGATGTTGGGTAAAATGRAATTTTACCATTGCTTTAATCTGCTTTATTGCAGATTAACTCTGGAAAATTCAACAAATGGTTATATAAATGCTTTTAAGAGATCTCATTTTTCAAGTGCAGGTAGGCTCAGTTCAGTGCCTCACAAGTAGATCCCCTGAAGTCCATGTCCACTCCACTTTCTTACCTGATGGATATTTGTAGAAGTGCCAAATGTCCATCAAAGAATTAATCAGGAGACACCATGCAGGAGYCTTGTGCTTGGGTGAACCAGGGTCCTGTGACAATGTTGAGAGGCCAGAGGCTGAGAGGCTGCTGAGGGGTCAGTAGCAGGTCCCAGCCCTTGAGGCTTTCTCAAGGTAGAGGCTACTGGAGCTGACGCTGGTCTTGTCTTTCCYCTTCTTTGCTCTGGGATCCTCCATATCCTCACCCCAAACAGCTGCATTTGGGGTCCCGGAGCAGAGAAGACAAATCTCGGGGCTGCTCCAGGAAAGTGGTAGGACGGGGCCCACAGTGGGACTCAGGAACCCATGGGGGAAAATGCTGCCCCATAGAACCTCTCACTTTGTTATTTGCAATGTACGTAAGTCCCTGYGTTTTCAGGAGAGTCTTGTGTCTCCTCAAGGAGCAAACTATCAAAACTGAGAGCAGCTGAGACACAACCTCTGGCCGAGGAAGTCTAAGGATCAGAAGTTTGTGGGTGGGAGTTAGAAGAATGTTTTGGGAATGTGACACGGTGCCAATCCTGTTCCTGTGTATTTTGCTTAGTGTTTTTTGTGGTTACTTAGGATTCGGGACCAAATGGCCATTTATTTTGAGTCTGTCTGGCTTTTCTAACCTTGTACTCACTTGGTCTCACAGTAAAACTCAGGATTCCTGGAACGCACCCTGTTCTTCATCCAGTGTGCAAGGAGGTTTGGGAACRTCACCAGTGAGGCAGGATCTGCCTATTACAGCCAAGGAAACCATACTTGGATGGATGAGAGAAAAACATTTGGGTTTTGAGCTTCTTTCTGTATTTTCTCATCTTTATTCTGTAAAATTAACCACTTCCCTGTCCACTGTCTTCAGGACACAGTTGCTCTCTCACCCCRTCCTCTACATGGATCCCAACGCGAATCCATGTGGCGAACTGAGCCTTTCCAGCCGATCAGTGTCTGCTGTGAGGTCTGCACCTTCATAGAATCAGAGAGCGGTTGAGGCTTGAAGGGASCTCAAGATCATCTAGTCCAACCTTCCTGCTCCAACAGGGACACCCAGAGCATGGGGCAYAGGGTGGCATCCAGGCAGGTTTGGAAGATCTCCAGAGGAGACTCCACAACCTCCCTGGGCAGCCTGTTCCACTGCTCTGTCACCCTCACAGTGAAGAAGTTCTTCCTGACATGCWGATGGAACTGTTTCAACTTGTACCCACTGCCCCTTGTCCTGCCACTGGCCACCACTGAGAAGAGCCTGGCCCCTTCCTCCCTACATTCTCCCCTCAGGTATTTGTACATGTTGGCCCAGTTCTCAGCAGCAGGGAGRGAAAGCGGAGGAGCAGGGCTGAAGCGAACGGAGTTTCCCCTGCGAAGCAGCAGAGCGTTGCAGAGCTGCATCCTCCCTGGCCAAGGGCACAGCCCCGCTGACACTGCAGGCTCCTGCTTGCTGAACAAGGACGTACCCCTGTGCACACACAGCAGGTCGGCACTGGGAAACAYCCTGCAGAAAGTTGTTTGATGGCAGCCAAGTTTTTCTGCACTACTTATATTGTAGGAAATTGAGGCTTAGAAGTAGAGACCCACTCAGTGTTGAGTGAACATGGAGCCTAGTTCTTGCTTAATACTGAAAAACCTTAGCCAATAAGTCAACCTGTTTTTCCTTGCTATCCTACACATAAAGTTACTGATGAGATAGACCAGAAATTCTTTCTAGTGTTACAAGATGCTGGAGCAGCCTGTGGCTGCAGGAGGAGACTGGCCTGTAAAGAGGGTTTCTCCTATGGGTCAAAGCACAGAGCTCTGCAGTCCCCGGATCCTAGACATAAAAATACGAAAAAGAAGTAAGAAATAGAAATAGCTGTACTCTCCTCCCCACCCCACCCGCCCCTCAAAAAAAGAATTATAGATAATATATTGGATTTATTGTCTAACGTAACTTCAAATGTGCTGCCCGCAGTGGAGTCGCTTGTGAAGTGCTGTGCTAGGGATGGGTGCTCTAGGTGACGTGCTGTAAGTGTGTGCCAGACATGCAGATCTCTGGGCAGGACAGGGCTTGGTGACAAATCTGACAAATCCAGGGATGCGACAGTAGTAGCACCACGCTCCAKGGTGGGCCGTATGTGGGCAAACCAGGGGCTGTTCATGCGTTTGCCAAGGTTAAACCTACTCAGAAATTGTTTAGAATATCAGAGTAGGTCTCTCTATCAGAGCGGTAATTCTTTGTAACAGAAGATAATTTGGCCCTTGGTTTCCAAAATGAATCCTTATTCTGCCACAGYACCACATGAGGGAGGGAACTTGTTGCTGAGAGAGGTTCTGCTGTTTCCTGGAGGTCTGACCATGGCCATGTTGAAACACGTCCACCAAGCAGCCAAGGGCATGAGGAAGATGCCTGATCTCATGCAGCATTTAGCAAAACATCAGCAAGGGCACAGCAAGGCAGGAAAACCACTCAAATAAGACACATGTATGGACAAAGTGGATTCAGATCATACTAGTTATGACCATCAYTCATACTGTAACTCATTGATCAACTCTATAGTGACAGGACTAACAAGAACAGTACCTATGTGCAGCTGTTCAATCAAACTGAAAGACAGTGAAGTTCCCTGCCTGTAGGGTTGGCTAGTGCAGAAAATGGGCAATTGTCAGGGAGTCTGTATTAAATTAAAGAAGAAATACGAAATACAAGTGTTACACTTGTTGTAGAGCTTCTAGAGAGGATCCATCAGAAAGCAACAAAGATGATTAAGGGACTGGAGCATCTATCGTACAAGGAGAGACTGAGTGAGTTGGGTCTGTTTAGCTTGGAGAAGAGAARGCTGAAAGGGGATCTCATTAACATGTACAAATACCTGAGGGGATAATATAGGGAGGAAGGGGCCAAACTCTTCTCAGTGGTGGCCAGTGACAGGACAAGGGGCAATGTGTATAAGTTGAAACACAGGAAGTTCCATCTGCATGTGGGGAAGAACTTCTTTGATGTGAGGGTGACAGAGCCCTGGAACAGGCTGCCCAGGGAGGCTGTGGAGTCTCCTTCTCYGGAGATCTTCCAACCCTGCATGGATGCCGCCCTGTGCCCCGTGCTCTGGGTGTCCCTGCTGGAGCAGGGGGTTGGACTCTAGAGGTTCCTTCCAACCTCAGCCATTCTGTGATTCTGTGATACACTGGAACAAAGTGATGACTTGCATAGATGGCCTTAGTTTTCAAGGATATGGGGCTCTGGGCAAGCAGACAGGAGGGAAATATTGCACATCGATGACATGGCTTCACAGATGATGTGTGGTTTCAAGGGATTCAGAAGGACCCTGAGGGAGAGGAAGGCCCAGGTGATGTGCTAGAGCTCAGCAGAATTCCAGCACATCTTGTGTAGGGGGTTGAGAGCCGTCCGAATCAGGCAGATCTTTTTTCTGAAGAAAGTTACTCTATCCATGGAACAATCTAATTAGATCAGGAGACTTTAGCTACTAAAATAAAATAAAATAAAATAAATAAATAAAAACACAAACAATCAAACAAAAACTCATGGAAAGCATTCATTTGGAACTGTGACACCCAAAGCAAGATAAACACAAAGGATTTTCTTATTTGCAAGTATCGACATTAAGGGCAAGGGCAAACAGAGTCAGAAATTCAGGCTGCCTGGTAAATCTGCATCTATATCTTATGTAGAACAAATGCAAGGAGAGAATGGAAGTCAAGAGCAGCATTACTCATTCCCAAATCACTGGCAACAAGGAAGCCTAAGTCGAAGGGTAAAAAGGAGATCAACACCCTAACAAATATGACGAATTGCTCTGCTGCAGCCTTCCCCATCATGGAAGACCATGGAATAACTGGCTCCTTAAGGACTCCCTTGCTATGAACTGGATGATGAAGTGGACTCTGTGATAAACCTGTATTATCCTGGGGATTAGATTCAGCCTGAGTAATATGTTAGAGATTTGATGCAGCTAAGCACTAAAACATTGCTAGACTTTCTGCACTGTTTACCTGGCAGCTTCCTGACACAAAATTTGTCATCCAACATACATAATTTTCCTCAGTGGATAATTCACCCACATATTACAGGTAAGTGGTAGCTTTGGAGCTAGCTGACATGATTTAATACTAAACTTTTGGAGGTAGAAAGAATAAAAGCTAGCAGCTGTAATTCTCAAGGCAATAAACTCTGAAACTCAATTACCTGTCCTTGGAAATCCCTAAATCAAGACCGAATATTAGATCAGGTAGGACTGGCTGTACGATACCATAGGAATTAATGCAGGAATCATATCACCAAGACGAAACAGCACGGTGATGTGAAAGTCGCTTGTCATCTAGCTGGCAGCTTTTGCACTGCGCTTCATGAGGGCCCTGTAGGAAGAACTTGTACAGGGAAAGCTGCAGGAGAGGAAGGAAGCGGGGCCGGCTTCACCTTCATCGCCTGTTGCTCTTGCATCCGTCCTGTTGGTTTGTTCCCGTTCTGCGGGAGCCTACGCGCTCCTGCAGCGTCTCCGCTCCTCTCCACGCGCCCCGAGACCTGCCAAGGCCCACCCAGCTCCTCGCCAGGCTTGCAGGGCTTTTCCTCTCCAAATACTTGTGTTTTATTGCCAGTTCAGATTGCCAGCTTCCCGGGGAACGTGGAGCAGATGGTTTGGCTCCAGTGCCACGGGGTCTTACCAGGAAAGAAGCTTCGAGGTCAGCAGGGAAGGCAGCAGAAGCCACAGGGGGTCCTCAGGCTTCGCAGCTCGCTTCTCAAAAGCAGTGTGAGCARAAGTCATCCTGGGTGTGGAGCAGAGCACAGGGAGGAAATCCTATGCCCAAAATCAGTCAGAGCACAGACTCTATAGATTGACCGAAATTATGAGCTGGTAGGAGACTTAAACAGGAGATGTTCTCAGAACAGCTGCAGTCACCAGAAGGGCAGTTCAGTAGGAGACTCCACTGGAAGGCAACTCTTCCAAGAGCACAAAAAGAGCAAGTTGGAGGCGGACAAGCAGCACTAAAACACTGGGATAAGGACCAAAAACCAACCCAAACACTCAAACACCGTCTCCCTTCTAACCACRCGGGCTTCCTGCTAGGAGAGGAGCTCAACCAGCTACAGCTTCATAAGGACCATGAGTGAAAATRGAAATGCTGTCTGGCCTCTGTCAAATGCTCCCCCCTAGTGATCACAATGGGCATTTCAAACTAAGCYATGAAATCTCTGGCTTTAAACACAACTTCTTCTCTTGCTCTGGTGGGAAGGGACATTGCCTCCAAGGACAGCAGCTCCATCCTTCCTCTTGCTGGGAGTTTCTTGGCATTATCTAGCAGAAAGTCTTCAGCAGCCGCTCATTTATTGACCTGGAATTACATCACATCCTCACAAAGTGAATCAGTCTGCCTCAGATTTTAAAGGAAACATTGCCTTTGCAGACCCCGATCGAACAAATCACCCATTTAAAGCAGCAGGTGGAAAGGATTAAACATTTATTTACATACAGATACATACGTAAGCAATTCCTAAGTATAAAAAAGGACATTACAAATAAAACATGAAGCTTCATACATTCRTCATCCTGGTCATCCAAAATACATTCCTTTCTCAACCCCACTGTACCACACTTGACAACAAGAAGTTAAAAAAACAGACAAGTCAAATGCTTGGGACAGGTTAATGATTCACAGTTTGGCAATTTGCTGACACCTATAACCCTTCCCAAAGACAGCGTTATTCCAGCAACTGAAGGTAAATGATCTGACCAAACATAGTGCATTTTCTCCACTGAAAGGGTTGTGCTTGATCAACAGGAAATGTGTCACCAACTCATCCTTCTGGCCATGTGTTCRGGGCATTTAAACAAATCAGGGTTCTTAAACTGTATACATTGTGCTGAATTCACCATTGTTGAGGGGCAAAAAAGAGAAGATCATGACAGCTGAATGTGTGGGAAAATCCCCAATGCAGGAAATTCCTTTAATCCTGCAGCCTCACTGGCAGGGAAGTTGCAAACAGAGTGCCGGGTTTAGCCTATAAACAGGCTTTTAAACTACAAACTGCAGCTGATAGTATAACATGAACCTAGTTTATGCTGTAAAAGGAATCACATGTTTCATTACTAATTTATTAGTAATCAAAGCTGAAGAYATATCAGTTTTCTGTGGGAACAAAAATGCCTTTATAAATCTCTAGAATTTCTTGYAGCTCTCAGGAAAGCAAAAATATTTTAGACTAGATGTAGCAACCTAAAGGCAGCACAGAATATGGAGAACTTGTCAGATAACGTTACAAAGGGGAACAAGTCAGTAAACACAAAATTAAAATTGCCTACTGGAAATATTAATGAGTTCAAAGGAGAGCTGCATTGATCAAAGGCAGTCAGGAAAAAAATGTCATGATCTGCAAATTCACAGAGCTACCAAATACGTGCAGCAGCTCAGGGGAAGCAGGAATGGAAAGGAACAGCAAGAGCCTGGTGCCGTTGACAGCTGAGTGACTGCAGCTGCTCCTGTCYTTTTTTCATTTAATTTTATATATTTTTTTTGCAAGCAGCTGTGGGTAATGAAATGGATGTGACATATCTGCAATGCATCTTGTTATGCTAAAAACCCATGGCACCTTTTACACAGTTTCTGTAATACTCAGAGACAGACTCATGGCTCAAAACCCACAGAGCAGCAAGCTCCTTGTGTAGCTCCCTCACACGTCTCATTAGATGCCCTTCCCTGTCCCCTTTCTCCTTCTCCCCACAATGTAGGCTTAAAATGGCTTAAGCAGCTTCATTTATTTCCTTCTTTGTAAGACTTCCTTCCAAAAGGTCTGCAAGAGCGGAGGCAACAGCCTGAATCCACTGCTGCTCTCCCTGTCATAAACCAAATATTTCACTCCCACTCCATTAAAACACCAAACCAACCTCCCCCTCTCCTCCACTTCCCCCATAACTGCTTGGCTGCTGGGGACACCGAGACCATCACATTTACTAAAACTAGTGCCAATGAGGTAGCTCAGGCCCTTAGAGATATTCGCAGCACTACAAAAGCAGCAGCTCAGGATGACTCTTCTCATCGTTTGGCAAAAGTAACTGGATTGAGAGCAGAGCCTGCCTGCATATTGGTAACCTACTCACTTGCCCCAAACCACCGGTTAACATTTGAACCTCTTAAGCTGGTCCTTCAAAAATGGAAACCCTCTTTACGGCCTACAGTGGCTGAGAAGAGGTTTCTTAGTAAGAAATCGGAGGCAGCACAGGAGATGAGCTGACGCTTCTCCTAGCTAATGCAGRAGTCAGATCTAGCGGTTCACCCAGCCAGCCAGGACCATCTCCAGCCTGAGGCCTCCACGGAACTTTGGTTCCCCTTCTCGCCATGATGCCAGTGCCACCGCGAGGCATCGGCAGCACCAGGAATAACCGGATTCAAGCAAGAGTTGGGATTCGCCAGCTCTGAGCAGCTCTGAGGTTGGTGTCCAGACACAGCACACAGTGCAAAAACATTTTCCAACCTTGCTGGGAAAGGAGAACTTCAAAGAAATAGATCACATCCAGCAAATGCTACTAACTAATGATTAATAACAAAACAGAGACACAGCACAGCCAGTCCTGTGCTCCTGATGAGCTGGACTCCTAACCCTGGCTACCCTCTTAAAACCAGGACAATCTTCCACTGACAACACTTAGAGCCTTGTTAAACTCATCCTGCATCATGAATCCAGCCCAGGGTGATATCCCCGTTGCCTGTTTTCCTAGCCAACACAAATCCTGATCTACCATCACCCATCAACATTTAGGAAAATCTCCCATTCGCTCACAAGGAATTCACAAGGCTTCCACCAGCATCAACTTCTCTAATTGAATAAATTCAAAACGTTTTTCTGCTTTAAAGATGTTTACAGGAGCAACACCTATGAGAGATATCAGATACCCTGATATTGGAAGAACAGAATCCTAGGGAAATCAGATGAAAGTCAAACTCAACGCCTGTCTTACTAAAATCCAGAGAAATCACACAAAATCAGCAATTAGCCATGAGAGGGCTGCTGTTTTCATGTTCACAGTCATATCTGCCCTGATAGCACCAGAGCTCCCCAGGGCAGTGTGTCCTGCACATTGACTCTGACATTGCAGTTGATAATTTTGCTCATTTCCTAAACGAAATCAGTCTCCAAACACAGAATTCTACCGGCTCAGTATCTCAGCAGGAACTATGGACAGTTCTGCATGCTGAAAAGAGGACAAGTGGAAAAGCAGCTGAACAAAGAGCAGTCCTCAGGGATAATGCACACTGCAAAACCCAGGAGTTTTGACTACAACCAAGTGCCTCCTTGTCAGTAAAAGCCCAGGAAAGGCCACTGTCCTACCCGTGTGCACCCACTCTGCTGCCGAATCCCTCCTTTCCACTCTCCCTCTTTCCAAACCATCGTCTGCAGTGTGAACCTCAGGCTACTGCCATTAATGCTGATGCTGAAGGAATTCGATAGCCATTAACCCCTCTATGTAGAGTGGCCTTTAACCGGCAGGGCCTCTTCCATAGATGAACAGCACTAACGGGATTAAGAGTTTTTTCATGCATTCCACAGCAAAATCCAAGCATCCTGACCGATAATTTGTCGTGTTTTTATTGAGTAATGACCAAAAAAACATTTAGAGAGAGAGCTTTGCAGACATACAACGTGCAGTGGCTCATCCAAGATCAGCCTGATGGAATCAGTACCTGATCTGAAAAAGCAGAGCTTAGATCCCCTAATTTTGAGGAGATGCCTTTACCAATCTCTCTGCTACATCTGCAAACATCTGTTGACATGCATGCTGACTTCACTTGGAGCTAGTCATTGTGTCAAGAGGTTTAAAGAACAGAAGATGCCATTATAGAAATAAATAAATTTCTAATAAAAGAAATGTGCATCCAGAAATAAGATTATTCCACGACTGTGAATATATTGCCCTGAAAAACAAAGCAAAATCTAGTAACTGCACTAAAGGCTGTAAGTTACACTGCTCTTGGTAGGGAACATTTCCAGTTATGTTTGGCCCTTTGGTGTCAATTCTGCATAGCTTTTGGGCCCTTCACCCAGCAAGCGTCACACTTTTTACTGACTGTTCTCTTGCAAAAATCCATTTATCTAGCTAGAATGTGTCTGCCATAAATGGAGATACTATTAACATAAAATTGGGACTTTTTTATATAATCTCCTGCTATTTTTCAACTCTTTGAGCAATGCACTGCAGCGTTAAATTGTCCTTTGCAGCTGATAAAGTTCCTCTTTCTGGTTGCAAAGCCCTCAGCAAAGGACCAGATTGCAGAACAGAAGATTAGCCCTCAAACCCACAAGGAGAAGTGGGTCCTGTGCACTAAAATTTCAAGGTGTATAGAAATAATTTCTGCAAGAGAGTTATCAGAGCAAAACATCACTTAAATATTCAACAGCTAGTATTTGTTAACTGAAAAGATGCAGGCAAGTTTCAAACTACAGCTTGGGCTTATGACCTTATAAAATGTTGAACGTGTAACCACTGCTTCCTTTCTGCCCTGTAAGAACTCCTAATAGATTTAAAGCACTCAGGCCCGGAATAAGTTTTGAGAGACAGATTTGGGATTTGTCCCTGGAGAAGTCACCTTATAGCTACATCAATCCGCTGGAGAAGCACATCCCCGCCTGGAGACTCGGAAGATTTGCTACTGACAGAATAGACACCTGCCAACCAGGAGGCAGCTGGTATAGAAAATCAGAGACTTCTGGAAACCTTGGCATGAATATTCAAAGCAATAAAGTGAGCAATTACTGCTATTTGATCAATTCAGCTTGTTCACTCATCATGATGCATTAGTGTTCAATATTCAGAGGTGATGCAAGGATCATGTTGAAATGCGTTTCCAATGGCACTCAGCAGGAATGAAAAGTACCTGTTCAGCTCAGTATCAAGTTTCTGCCTGTGMTCATCACTCCTTTTCCATTTGTGCCCCTCTCAATGGTGTTTTCACATGATTCCTTCAGTGCTGCTCAAAAATATTTCTGCAATATTCCAGTTTTCATTAGCAACATATGCTTAAGTCAAATTTACTCGCACTGGTCTTAAGCTGCAGGAAGGTCATCCAGTCATGAAAGCTGTACCAGGGAGATGTCTGTATTTCACAGATCTGCTTCTGCATGTGCTGCCCGTCCAGAAAAATGAACACTTAAAGGCTGGGTTATCCCTGTCTTTCCTCCTGTGGATCATAAATTTGCTGTTGTCTCACCTAAACATTATTAGTTTTATGCTTTCTGACAAGCCCAACATCTGGAGAGCAAGAACTTTTACAAATTAAATATAGGAAATACTGATTTCTAGCTCCAGTACCACCTTTATACATAACCTCACAAGTTCTGTTTTGAACACCTGCCTACCTAAGAGCTGGAGAGAATCAGCTCATTCAGAGCAGGAGTCTGTCAGAGTTGGACGTCCCAAATGCTTCTAAAATCTCTGGCTTACAGCACAAGCCAAGCCTGAAAAGAACCAGTAAAAGCCAGTGTGCCACATCCCCAACACCTAACACTTAGAGCAGCACTTTACAAAACGTTACCTAAGTGACACACAACTTTTGAACCACAACTTCTACATTTCATTTTGAGTGCTACTTATAAAAGAAGGAAGTGACTTAAACAATGGCAAGGAAACATTCATTAAAATGGTCACATTTTACACTACTCTCCTCTCTCTCAAACACACAGTTCTCACTGAAGATCAAAGGCACAAAATTATATAGCCCAAAGAATCTGTTTGTTTTATTTTCTACAAAAACGAGGAAAAAAAAAAAAAAGCATTTGAAAATGCTTGGGTTTTATTTTAAAGAAATACTTACTGGCAGCTTTTTAGGTTAATACAAAAGCTCAGTTATAAYCATCAGTAGGTGCCAAATGATATTAAGCTGATTAATTTGAAATTATAGAATATCACAGCCATATAATTGTCAGAATTCAATCCAGGTTAGCTAGACTGATCTCAAACTTTAAAAAAACATTGTTCCTGTGCGTGTTCCCCTGTCTTCCAACTTCACTCTAGTGCCAACACGTGCACTTGTGATGCATTATTAGAAGACAGCACTAGAGGTGTAAAAATGTAACAAATTCCATAAATGCTTCCACTTTGGGGGTTTTGTAGAAAGAAATTGCCTGAACGGTTATACATATACCAGAGTCTGAAATGCAAGAGTACAAAGCATCGGGTAAATTAAATGACTCTACAACCCTGAATCTGAAAGCTACTCTAAAGAGAATAGATGCCAAGAAAATACCTTTAAGAGCTTCTCAGGGTACAGCTCCATATGGCGATTGCAGGATGAGTTAGACACAGAATGATTCCACTCAAAACCTGTTGCTATTCCCACTTAGCATAAAAAAACTCTATAAAACTGTATGCCTGCTTTTCAACAAGAATGGTTATSTACAAGCTTTAGATTTACTCAGACATATTGCAGATGGCCATTTAAAACTGTGCTCTCTTTGAACCCTTATATACAATCAATGCACACACGATATTTTGGACAGATCTGGTGCATTTTTTTTTCCAACTCCAGTAACAAAGTTTCCCAAAGCTACTTTTTCACATAAGGACATTACTAACTAGGGAGGGGGAAGATTTGTTATTCATTTTTCTTTTTGCTTCCAGAAAGTCCTTTCATCCTATACTGGATATCAAAAAAGCACAGTAGTCCTTACCCACTACGTTCAGGCTAGAAAAAGAGGTAATGAGATTTTTTTTTTTTAATGAACAGTGCTTATTAGTGTTCATTTTTCCTAATTATTCTAAGTTACACATTCAGAGGACAGCAATGTAGTAAGACTACGTTCGGTCTACGGAATATTTGCTGAACTGCTAGCACCAAAGGGAGCAAGGGAGCTGTATCCATATCTCTTCTCAAAACATTTTTTGAAAATGTCGATATATATAACTTTTTTTTTTTTTTAATTTCATGTTCATGAAAGTGCCTATAGATGAGAGACATAACACTGCTTCAGACGCCAGAGTCCTCCAAGAAGAYGTGTGGACAGACTCTATATACATGTCCTCAGAACTCGCTGGCAGCCCAGCAGATTGCCAGGACAGTCCAGCGCCGCTGTTCATTCTTTTTTCTTTCTTTTTTTAAAAAAAGGACCAAACACATTGTTCTGTAAGAGAGATTTTGAACTTTTCGGTATCTTCATCACGAGAGGCTGTGCTACTGTCCTGCAGAAGGAAATGCCACAGCTCATGTTCTCCTTTACATGAAGCACCTCGCGCAACTCTTCTTAACCAACTCCAGAGACCGCAAAAAACTTGAAATTAAACCCCGTTATATTCTGCTATGTTGCCATGCAGCTGGAGCTGTCAGCCTGCCATGCTTCTAGGTCTGCAACCTGACTTGAGAGCAAGTCAGATGGGTCAACGTGGCAGCAATTCCCTTCGAGGAGACGAATCCCAGGAGAAAAAAAAATCCTTTTGGCCCATGGGGGACGGGGAATCAGATGCCAGCTCTTTAATTGAAATTACAGCAAGTCAAATAGCTGATGCTTTTCCCCTCTCCGGGTAGCGGGGATGCCACGTTGTTCACGAGGGTGTTCTGCCGTGCCTCGCTGATGAGCCGACAAGCTAAGTCCAGGAAGAGTTTTTCCACATTATCCGACTCTTTTGCAGAGGTTTCCAGATAGTACATGTCTTGTGCTTGGGAAAACTCGGCGGCTCTTTGCTGCGAGACTTCCCTCTTATCAGCTAAATCAATCTTATTACCTGCATCGATAGAAGATTTTAGAAAGGGAATTAATTTGACTTAATTAAGACAAAAAAACCCCAGAAATGAATCAGCGGGTAAGAGGTGTTTGGTACTGGTGTACGTAGGGAGAGGGCTTTTGATGGGAAATTCTTAGTGCTGGCTCTTTCCTGATATGTCCAACCAACTTCATTTCATATCAGGTCATTTAATGGAATATGCCCCGTGAATATGCAAGTCAGTTAGCAAACAGATGCATCAGAGCTAATTTAAAGCTAATCAGCTGACATTAAAGGATTCGCATTTTAATACCTATTGAAAACTCTCCTGTTCTTGCTATAAGGAGCACTTAAAATGTCAATTATAACATGTGGGATGCTAAACGTGATATTTCTCATGTGATTATGAGCTTCAGAACATGCCCAGCACAGAAGGCTGCTTTCCTGCTTTAATTAAATATTCTTGTGAGTGATTTGGCTGTGGAGCCTGGAACAYGGATGGGCTCAAGGGTGCTCACAGAACAAGGCGGGAGAGGAAGCCAGCCCCTTCCTTCGGGGCCCACTTTAGTGGGCGCTGATTAGCGCCCCAAGCAAATGTCTGCTACGATTATACCCTATTARCAGCCACTTCACTGCAAACATGATGTTTTTACTACAAATTAATCTCACCAAAAAAGATAAGAGACCAAGTCCTGCGATGGCAGGGGCCTGTGTCCAGGGACTCAGCAGTTTCAAGAGGCAGCCTAGTTTCTACCTCCAAGGCTGCCAGTAGTGCGAATCACCAGGAGGAAAAGCTCTTTCTTTGGAAAGTCACTTCTCACAGCCATCCTTTCATCAGAGATATCCCTTTTTCCTGATAATTACTCGGACAGAGTATGCACCAAAGTTACATTTACAAACAGATTATCCCCAGCTGGGGAGGTCACCCCTTGTCAATCACTAGTTAATACAAGTGGGCTACGGCTGTTCCCATCTGTAAAAGTGTGTGCTGTGGCTACTGGCATTTAAATTTTATGCCCTAGCTGTTGATAAAAAAACTTAAAGTTCTGTAAAATATATTTGTTAATCATTTATTGTTTCTGCAGGGTTATGAGTTTCTTGTAAGGAAATGCCTTAGATCCTCTCGTTTACGTGCTTAGGAGCATATAAAGCTCAAAGGATTTTTCAAAACATCATAAAGATATTTTAAAATTGAAATCGCTAATAAAGATCCCAGAGAACTTTATTATTTTTAGTGACAAATTATTAATGAGAAAATGACACTGCATTTAAAAAAGAAAGAATTAAAAAAAACACCCTGGCTTTTCCCAATTTATTTTTCTATTGTTCTTCATATATTCCGGAGCTTTTAAAAGCCAGACTGGCAGGTTCTGAAAGGACAGCACAGCAACCCACAGGCAGGCACGATACCTTTCACCTTGCTTGCAGCAGACAGATGGCATGAGGTCTGTTAYAGCATGAGTCGAATCTACTACAGACAACCTAGCTGCCAGTATTAATTTTAGTTTCGCTAAAACCCACGGGGAAAATTGAGATTTCCAGCTCTGTCCCACTTGAAACACTAGTATCCACATACCCATTGCATCCTGCTTCCCAAGCCTTCAGAGAATCACAGGATGGTTGAGGTTGGAAGGGACCTCTAGAGATCACCTRGTCYAATSSCCCTGCTCCATCARGGACACCCAGAGCACAGGGCACAGGGTGRCAGCTGGGYGCGTTTGGAGGATCTCCAGAGAAGGAGACTCCACAACCTCCCTGGGCAGCCTGTTCCAGGGCTCTGKCACCCTCACAGTGAAGAAGTTCCTCCTCACCTGGAGATGGAACTTCTTGTGTTTCAACTTATACCCATTTCCCCTTGTCCTATCCCTGGCCACCACTGAGAAGAGCTTGGCCCCTTCCTCCCTACATTCTCCCTTCCTGAACTTATACATGTTAATCAGATYCCCTCTCAGCCTTCTCTCCTCCAGGGAAAACATGCCCAACTCAGTCTCTCCTCGTACAAGAGATGTTCCAGTCCCTTAACCATCTTTGTAGCTCTCTGCTGGACCTATTCCAGCCAGGACTCCGGCTGCCCCATAGCTATTGGTGCAGAACTACCCAAAGGCCTCTCCAGCGTCAGCAGATCCCCCAGATATGTAGATACCCGAGCGAGGAGTCACAAGGGCAGGGGCTCAACGCGTGGCTGTAGTGGTCACCGTGAGGYGGGACCTACCGACGAGCACGGTGATGACCTTGTTGCTGGCGTACTGCTCGATCTCCCGCAGCCACTCGGGCAGGCAGCGGAAGGACTCCTCGCACGTGATGTCGTAGGTGAGGATGAGCGCGTTGGCGCTGCGGTAGTAGCTCTGCGTTATCGAGCGGAACCGCTCCTGGCCGGCCGTGTCCCAGATCTGCAGCTTTTCACATAAAGAAAGGGAGCGGAGAAAAAAAAAGCAGCAATTTAACATTCTTTGGGAGCAGCACCCTTTTGATACTTTTTCCCCCCTTCCAAGTAGAAGCAATGCTGGAAAAACACTTAGCTCTTCTCCCCTTTGGCTTCCCTTTCCCCAGCAATTTTTGTTTCCATTTCTGCATTTAAAGACTGAAATGCGAAGCCCTGGCAGGGCTGGTATTCCAGCCGATGTCCCCAGGAAGCCCAGGGTTTTCAAGCTTCCGTGTGACTTTTGGCACCCTGCTCGGGAGCAGACAGCCGGTCGCGCCAGCCTGGAATTACAACAGAGGCGCCCGAGGGAGAAATCCGCTCCTCATGCTCCATGCCTGGACACCCCAGATGCTCAGACATCCCCAGGCACTTTGCCCGCAGCAGTGCCCGTCACAGGAGGGCTGAGAAAGCCTCTCCTTTGGCTCCCAAAGTTATTTGGTTTTATTGAGATGAGGTATGAAGGGGGTGGAAAGCATTGGAGTAAATGGAGAGCTCAGACTTGCAGCTGATTCGAGGTTTCTAGGGCATCTCCCCGACACAACTTGGGACGTACAAGCCCCCTGCTCACTGCCTTCCTTGCCCATACACAGAAGTGGTTAACACCACTATGTTAATATACTATATGAATATACTATATGTCTATATGAAAGAGCTCATGAGGCTTGAGTGGTGCTTGCACAGTGCTCTGGAGCCAGGAGGACAACAAAGACATTTCCCAGTGTGAAGCAAACTTCTCCCCTCTTTCTTTGATCATCTGATGATAATTTTTTCCAGTATTTTAAAATGTAAAGAAATTAATATCCAAAATTAAAACTTCAGAGAGTATTTCTCTGCTCCAGTTGTTATTTTTTAAAATGTCCCTCCCTGGAGTTAAGTATGTGAAAGAGAGATTTCCTGCCAGAATTTAATGTACTTTAGACTGCAGAAGTTGAAATACTTGGGATTTTTTCCATATGTTGCTCAGTCTATAACACAGGAAGTGTTATTCTTGCTGAGTTCCAAAGCTGAACCACATCAGTTAATCATCCTAAATATGTTATTTTGAAATGAGAGCCCCCAATATACAGCTTGCAGATACAAGGTATCATTTTTTATAAGTACATTGGCACCTGCATTTAAGGTACAGAAACCTGTAAGTGAAATTACTTGCACATAAAATTCAGGTAGCAACCAAGTCCTTCAAAACAAATCTGCTTTCAAAGTCTGGCAGATGGGAAAAAAAAAAAAACAAACATTTTTTATTTTGTTGTTCATCTGTTTCTCAGGAAAAAAAAAGGTCTGATGACTGATCTATTGGTTAATGAGTTTATAAATGCTTAGCATTTATTAGGATGTCTGAGTTGCTGAGGACTTCTGATGTGGCTCTGATTACCCATTGCTTTAGTGGAGCAGATTTTGAAATCAAAGKGGACTGTACCGGGCTGGTTTGGGGAGGAAGTAATTGATGATTACTGTGAACCTACCTGCTAGACAGGTATGAACGTCAGAAAAGAAAGCCTTAGAACTTAAAACTGATAGAACAGACTTTGAGACAAGATGCATGTCTCGCACTACTGACCAATTTATTTCTGCTGAGTGAAAGATTTGACAGCAGCCAGCTCATTCCTACCCATTTCTCAGCGCTACTGAAGGCTGGTGCCTGACTCAGCCTAGAGAAATCAAAGTCATTCAGATGTTCTTTTTTGGGGCCAGCTGATGCCTCCCCRTCTACCAACACTCCCAGCATGTTTGCATTTCTGCATACGAACATCTCTGTCTACACAGCAAGGTCACAGGCACAGGCTTCTCCTGACCAGCAGCCTCTCAGACATGACATGTGCTGGGCATATTTCTGAGGCTGTTAGAAAACATCAGAGAGATCAAAATCCCTTCTGAGCTGAACAGTGCTGTCTCGTGTGCTTCATGACAACGTATGCAAGGAGCATGAAGGGAAGCAGACACTCTCCTCTGCTTTTACATGCAGCCTGTCATGGAGCATCAGGAGTTATTCCTATATCCGAAGTGACTTGTGCAGCCCTCACACTGGCAGATACTTCTTTATCGCCTTTGGGATGCAATTCTGAAAGCCAGAAAGTGATCTTCCCAGAAAATGATCTTTTCTTTTTAAATTTTGGTACCTTTTTGATAAACAGGGCTACTCTCTAATCCTGGATCCTGGCAGCTGTGCAGGAGACTCTGCCTGGAATGGAAGCGGAGTCACAACTTGAGTGCTGCTGAATGCACGAAGAGTCACCAAACGCCCAGTGTGAGGGGGATGCCAGTTTATTGCTCACTGCTCTGAGTCATTCTGCTTTTCCCACTCACCCATGAAGTGTTTATTCCAACTAGCCCAGTTTATTCAAGAAGTTTCAGATCACTGCCTGTTTGCACTCATAGGAAGCATGGAAAGAAGCTATTTTGACTTCTGGACTTTGGAAGGATTGTTCAAATGAGTACATTTATAGCATCTCTTTGCATATCAGTTCATTAGCTCAACTCTGGTGACTTCAACGTACTCCATTGACGGAAGAGGGGGAGCTTTGGCTTAACAACAGCTCCTGTTTGCTATATGAATATTCACCAACTAGCTCATGCCAACTGCTCTGCGGAACACAATCCAGCCCCAGCATGATTAAAGGAAAAAGAAAAAAAAAAAAGTTGCTCTGATGGTTACTCATGCATTTATTGGATGTTTTGAGGGCAACAAGGATCCATTACACAAACAAGTCCACACTCATCTTGGTCTGACTCCTTGCACATCCCCGCCTCTGAGTTACCCATGTTGCTATAACCATGACCACAGATTTCTCTCCATTAAAGAGCCTGCATCCTCAGGCCAAGCCAGTACTGAAAGGCTAATGTCGTGGGTAACCAGTCAAACAGACAAGTCCTTATTGAGGGTAGCTCCACTTGACTTCAACTGTCAAAAAAAAAGTCTTCAAATTTACACTGAGTTATTTGGAATCCATCTGTATTTGTCCGGCTGGCACTACTTTCCTGCCTGCTGCTCTGTCCCACTTCCAAAGCAATGGGCAGCACTTGGTCTGTACCCTTGTGCAGCTGGAATTAAGCAGTCCAGTATCTCTGGGCATCAGGACCCAAACGGGCATCCCATTGTATTGTTAGACTGGGCTCTGGCATGTTTTGGCCTGCGACAACTAGCTCTCAGCCAAAGGACATGCACGATCAGGTCAAGAGTTAGCCCAGCACAAGGACAGTTTCCAGTGGGCAGTTGGGACAGGACCACCCTATTTTGGAGGCCAAAAGGGTGAATAATGTGGACATGGGTCACTCTTGCCTTTATCCCTTAGGTCTGAAGATCTGAGTGTCTTGTAACAGCCTCAACTTCTCCTAAACTCAAAACTCAGCAGAAGTGCAGGACAAGCCTTTGCTTTACAGAGCCCTCCCCACCCCCAAGCCCAGAGACTTGCTTGGCTCCTCCAGGAATCTCAAGAGCTCAACAGGAGAAAACCTTTTCCCAGCACATCCCAGAGGGAATGTGACAGATCTCAGCTTAACAGAAATGCAATAAATGGAGATTTCATTGAAATGGTTCTTTGCATTTCCATAGCCCATCCAGGCAAGATGTTGGTGCCTTATAAACCAAAAAAGGCTCCTGCAAAACTCCACTTTTTATTTTCATTCTTAGAAGTTCACTATTTTTATTCTGATGTTAGTTGAGAAGTGGGGTGTAGATACTAACTGTGATGCTCAGCATCTTCCGAGCCATGATGCAGAACCTCACACACCTGTATGTGTTCATGGGCCTCCTAGTAGCAGGATGGCTGTTTCTAGAGAGTGATCTGAACTACTGCACTGCTATCTGAGTTTAAGCTGAGGATCAGCAGGCTCCTACCTTTACTTTTTCACCATTGATCTCCACAGTTTTAATCATAAAGTCAACCCCAATCGTGGCTCCTTGACCTGGTGGGAAAAGCCCCTGGAAGAAAAGGAGAGATTCATTAAGCAAGTTCTGTAGGAAGAAAAAATTTCTGGGTACAATCCTGACCCTTTTTCATCCCTAATACTACTCCACTCATGTCTCCTTCTTTCCAACCATGTTTAGATAGGAAAACAGCTCTAAATGAACAGCACTAAAAGGTGCTGCTGTTCATTGCATTGCTCCAGGCAGGGGGACTGGGGTCTGGCAAGGCTCTGCACGCTGATCCGGCCCTGACCACACTGAAAATCCAGTTGGGAAACTGAGTTTTGCAAAATCTGCTTATGCATCTTGCAGGGAATAAACCAGACACTCCCCACAGTACAAGGGTTACCACAACTCGACCCCACTGTGTTTTCCCTGCTTACAGCTCCCTAATCCTGTAACTCTTAAGTAACTGACTTGAGAGGTCGGGAAGTAAATGGGAGAAGAAAAAGGGAACAAATAAAGGGAAAATAGAAGGAAAAGCCTTTCTACTTCTGAATAGGCTGCTGACAACAGCAGCCTTTCTGATGCAATTTTGCAACTCCTTTAAAGACATGGGAGCAAAAGGGCAAGGAGGCAGGATTAGGTGCGATGACTGTTCCAGCAGCCTCATGTCCTTGCCCTGCCTCTCCACTGTGCATCGAAGGGCACTTCTGCCAGGTCCTGTGTCACAGGCTCGTGTCCCTGCACAGCAGCCCGAGCTAAACACACACTGAGCTGCGACCGGCACCGCGGCGATGCCAGGTGGTCGCGGCTGCTGCGGTCCCGGCAAGATTCAGTCTCCATGCCATCTGAAAGGAGGAACAGCAAACCAAAAAAAAAAAAAAAAAGAAAGAAAAAAAAAACCACATAAAACCCCCAAACAATAGAGCTTTTTGATTTCTGGTGTCCAGGCCTACAGTCATGTTGATTTTGGGGTGTATCCATCTCTTCAAGCAGCAGCGGCGCTGCCAAAGCACAAGCAGCAGCAGAACTAGCTACAGATTTCCCAATTAACCCCTTGGGTTTTATTGCTATGAGCTCTTTATGCTCAATAGGAGAGCACGTTTAGCATCACCATGGTTTTAAAAATGGAACTAACAGTTGGGGGAGGCTGCTGACAACTCCCAGTGAAAATTGAAAACAAACAAGCAAAAACACAGTAACAAACCCCAGAACTTGCATTATATATTGCATCACACAAACTTCTCTCAGCCTGCATCAGAGAAGTCTGGTCCTTTCCCCATCAGTCTTTTATGAAAAAAAAGAAAGGAAGCCAGCCTCAAATCTTTGCATTTGATTAGTTTTCTGCAGTCAGGCTGACAGCTGAAACCTGCCAATCCTCACTCTTATGCAAGGTTTCCTRAAGCCTCTGCATGCAAAACCCCAGAAGACACTGGAATTATGGTCTCAGACCCTGAGATTATCTAATTATCTAAATATATAATAATAATAATAATAATTTTAAAAGTCAGCTTTTTACACAAGCAGACCAACTTGCCCCTTCCACTTTGGAAAGGTCAGAGAGAAAAGACACATTGGAAATTGCACGGAAAGATGTTCTGGCCAAAATCAGGAGGAGTTTTCCCTGTAGCTTTTAGAGAAGACTTCCCATTGTGGAGAGGGACGTGTTTTCCCAAGCACCAGGACCCRTGAACCTGCCTATGGCATTAGCCACGTCCTGCTTGTGCTGGCTGCTTGAGAGCCCGCTCCCTGTCCGAAGGCATCCAGCACATTCCCACCTCATGCCCGTGCGCCYGACGGACACCCCATCTTACCTGAGTGAAGCGTCGGACTAGGCAGGTCTTCCCCACGCCGGCGTTGCCGATCAAAACAATTTTGAAGAGGAAATCATAATCTTCCATACTCATTTACGCAGCTGCAAGAGAGAGTGCAAGACGAGGTGAGCCGAAGGGCCGGCCTCTCCGTCTGGTCGCAGCCTCCCTCCCGTGCRGGAAATGCCCTTTCATTCCCATTGAACTTTATTCCTCCAAATCCTCGGAGCAAAGGCCGCGCTGGTGCTCCTGTGGCTCCCAAGATAAGGAAAAAGGCTCCTTGTGCTCCAGCGCAGAGAGGCTCCTCATGAGCCGGCCTCCAAACCAGCACAGTCTGAAACGGGTGCAAAACTGGGACTGGGCCACAACTCCCAGACCATCCTGTCCGGCTCCCCACAAACACCATGTGCTGGTGGTTTGGCAAAAACAAGACAGAAAAAAACACACACAGAGCCCAATCCAACGTCTTCTCCTTTGCAATTGAGAGTGTTGTTGGCATCAAAGCCAGAGGAGAAGGTTGTGATGGTGGAGATCACTTGCAACAAACAGAAAAGATTGAACTGGAGGTGTCAGGCAAAGAAACATCCTGACAAGGAAGCAGAAGGACAATGTCCTCGTCCAGCTGTGGCCAAGTACTTGGTGGCACTTGAGACTGGGCTGAGTAACAGCATGAGGGACTTAGTCAAGAGAAAGATGAACCATCAGCCAAGATATTGCAGGACAAGCGGACAGGGTATTAGTACCTAATTTTCATAGGCAAGAGGTGAGGAGCTAGAGCGACGTAAGAGGAACTAGGAGAATAAGAAGAAAATAAATAATGGGGGTGAAGAATTTCAGCTCTTCAGCAAACCCCAGGTGGTTTAGAAGGCTCTTCTGGAGCTGCTGAAGAGGGAGGTCCCACCATGCAGCAGGACACCAGMCACCCCAACTACAGGTCCAGTCCCACTGCACAACAGGGCTTGCAACCAAAGAGCAAGAGCAGTCAGAAAATTCAAGCTAAAATGCGACAACCACAGTCGGTCTGGTGAGGAGCAGGTCGAAACGGTACCAATAGTCCCCTGCACACAGCGGGAGGAAGAGTTCAGCTGCTTTGTCTGCATGACCCTTGGTCCTTCCAGTAGCCTGTGAAAGGGTAATCACCACCAGTGTTGACTAACCATCTGCATCACATCAGCTRATGGTGTGCGGGTACATGAGTCACCTCATGGACACCTCATCTCACCAGGGTCAAACTGCACTGCTAGTGACACAGCTCTTCTGAGCTGCAGCTCTGGTCCCCGGTGAAACATCACCAAGTGGGGCGAGCTGCAGGATGATCTAGCCTGGTGCCTCCAGCAGGCAGGAACTAAACAGCTCCCACCACCTCTCAACATGGCAAAACAAGACCATAGATGAACAAGTTCTAAAAACGTTCTTTTTTTTTTTAGGGTTTATATTTTGCACAATGATTTTATTTTTATATTTCCTGGCACTGGACCATAATCACATGACAAAAATGTCAACGCTACTCTTAAAATCAAATCAAGGCTTAATATTAATATACAGATCGAAGCCTTCAGAATAGCCAACGTGAGGAAAAATGTGATCATCCATTAAAAGCTGGATAATTGTCTCTGGGATTACAAGCACTGGATAATTGTCCCTGGGATTCTTCAAAGCCTCGAGCGCATTGCTCCCTGGAGCAATTTCAGTTATATTATTTATGCCCTAAACAATCCAACATTCAAATTTATCTTCTCAGGAAGCTTAAAAATAAACTTCCGTGGTAGATCTTTAAGCTTTACATTCACAAAAGTTAAACGGCTCAGATGTACCCTAGAGTGATGTCTGATCCCCTCCGTTTGGCCCCAAGACTAATCATTCATGTTACTAACTCAGAACTGGAAGACAAGCCAAGGCCACAGAACARACGTGATGAGCTATGATGCCAGAACTGAAGCACTACAAAGAGGTGCAGCTGGAGGCAGAGGAGGGGAGAAGGACAGCAAAAAAGAAAGGGATAAACAATCTGGGAAGAGGAGGGGACAGATGGGTTAAACACCACTGCCTTCTCCCTTGTTACTAACACAATGGCAGAAATGTGCCGGCCTTCCCCATTCACCCSGCATCTTAATCACTAGAAATCCTCCCACAAGCGTGGTCAGCAGGACRTGGCCTTCTGGTTTATCTCACTGTGGGGTCTTCAGTGCCCTCCCAGCAGCTGGAAGAACAAGACACACTCCCATCTGTTTCTCCTGTTCACCAGGTGACATGTGGCAAGGAACTGTAAACTGCAACAGGTACATGCTCCAGAKAATATAATTTCCAGGTATGTTTCAGTTTATTCCCCAATATAATTTATTCTCCCTGCTTTTGCCCCATTCTTTGCTCTACCAGTTATCATAGATCCAATTCCGTTTACTTTCCAGTATTTTTCATTTTCTACCATCTATTTTTTTTCAGTATTTTCTCACCCATGGATTTGGATGGGAACAGAAGGTTCCTCCTGCTCTCTGACTGCGACATCAGACGGGCTCTGCCCATGCCCTACTTAGCGCCTGTAGAAAACAAGTGGTAGAAGCAAAAGGCAAGGATTCAAAGTTATCTAGGAAGCATTAATCACTTTGGAGCGACGAAACTCTCTTTGTCCTTAATCAACTTCTATATTAGCATCAACCTTTGCATAACCTCAGCTCAAACTGCACTAAATCCCCAAGAAATTTGAGTGTGATCTTTAGAGAGCTGACATCAAGAAATCTCTGKTGCTTTTCCCTCAATGCTGTTGCTTGAGGCAGACTGTTCCTCCATAGGCCTGACAAGAGCAGGCTCTACAATGACGAGTTTGCTCGTCATTTTGGCTTACAAAGCCAAAAGTAAAGCTGCAGGGTTCAAAAGAAGAGATTTTCTCAAGTTGCCCACAAGGTGTGCCAGCCTCTGCCTTTCTTTTCCTCTCCTTGATGACCACAAATTAACTTGTGTTGGGGAAACAAGATATACAGAGGCCTTAGTCTGAAGTTAAAAAGCTTTTATGTCTGAGAGAGCACCTTGTCCTGGACTAGCAAAACAGATATACCCTGTTGTAGCTAAAGCTCCTTGGGATCTCAGTCCCATTATAGATGTTCATGAGTCTACAGAGCAGCAGTTCCTACCTCTGCTGGGCCAAGAAACAGCACAGACAACAGAGAGGGGCATATTCTTCTCCTCACATCACTCTCACCTAGAGGTTTCTCCTCTCCTGCAGCCTTGGGAAATGTCAGAAGGTTTCATGGTCATGTCTTGCTTACGGYCCACGGTTTGTGGACCACTGTTGTCAAATTTTCACATTACCAGAAGAGGTTTAATTTAATCTTAARTCACACCTGGATATCTGCAGCCTATGGTTCAATCTACACTACAAAAGCCCTTCCACATGAGGCAATTAAGGGTGAAAATGAGGCACCAAATTAAGCCATTTTATTTCTTCGGATTGCAACATACCACAGATGAAGCCAGGACGAGATAATTTGAATTCCAGTCCAGAGCTCTATCCCAACTTTCTTTCTYATGGTATTTTAAAGGTCTATTGCTTCAATTTGATATACACACTCACAAAAATRAATTCTGCAACCTCTTCTATCTAGTCTATCTTTAATTAGTCTTGATGAAATTATATAATCCTTATTGAACAGAGATTTTCTGCTCTTCATCAGCTCCAACAGCTACAAACAAAAGACAATTTACCTAAACCACTGAACTGCAAAGAGTAGCAGTTATGTATATCCATATAATTTGAATACATTTATTATAYGAGCCAGAAAATTCAAAGCTAAGGCTAATACTTCAACTAGAAAAATTATTCCTTGCAAGAAGTTGCCAGAAACTTGGATCTGGATCTGCTGCTGCATTACATAACACAAGATGAAGTCCTCCATTTGGAGCACACTTGCCAACCCAAAGAGATTGGCAAGCAAGTTCCCAACTCGTGYCGCCTCTGTGAAGAAGCTGCCTGCAGAGTCTGGCCTTTCCCACCCCCTCCCATCCCAGGCATGCAGGAGAGCATCTCCAGTGCCCTGCATGCTGGCAGTCATGCCAACCAGTATTAACCCCTCTTTGTCCTTAGAGGGGGTCCCTCTTGCAGAGAGAGCAGGATGGAAGAAAGGTCCCAGGCACAGAAATTCCACAGCTCCAAGCAGAATTTCCCAGGTAGAAGCCCAACTCACATTCATTAAGCACATGCACTTCCTGCAGTCTATTTGTGCACATTTAGGACGTGCAGCACGTTCAGGGTGCTGTGGTTTTACAGCTTGGCCACCAACTAATGCAAGCGCAGAAAGTCCGTGACCCTTCCAAGGACTTCCCTAAGCGCAGAGACTGTTTGGGTTGGTTAATCAGCCGGCCAATGCCAAAAATGCATAAACAAAACTTTTTTTCAAAAAATCTGCAAATTGCACACAGTCCTTGCAGTTGGAAAAATAGTATTTGGYGAAAAAGAAGCCCTATTAAGATTTTTATTTGGAGAGATTCCTGCTCCACCATCTTTTGTTCAATAAGTTTCTGCTACAGAAATCCAGGCAAGCTGAGTGGCACTACAAGGTATGATCTGTCTCTCAGAGACAGTCCTATAAATACATATATTTTTAAACGGGTAATTTGATTTAATGACTGGGCAGAGCACACACCCTCTTCCCTTGCCTCTTTTGTACACTAGGGAAAACTTGCAACTCACTGAACTACTTTGGTCAGGTCTGGGTTCATAAGTTACGTGGCTCCCAGGAGCTTGTGTGTGCACTAAGGAGCAACTCCAGGCTCAAGGGTCACATACGTCACCATAAACACTCAGGTAAACAGTGCATTAGTATCACTCCAGATGAAAGGCTGGGACAGGAGCCCTGCTCTTCCCTTCAGGATGCCCCGCTGTGATGCCCACACTCAACACGAGAGGGCTCAGCTTTGCCATGGGCCCACTGGGCATCAATTCTTTTTTTTAATTATCAAAAATAATGACTGCAGATCACTGTTTCGGTTTGCGCGTGGCATCCTAGGACTCTGGACCTCAAATCTCACATTTAGRTGCAGTCTTTAGTCTTTCACACTTTGCACTGGCCTGAGGCCAAAATGAATTTGTTCCCATGTCACCACCAGGTGA